TGTGGTAATCTAGGGGTGTGAAACACGTCGAGTACCTTCCCCCTTTTAATCAATCACGTGACTTTTGAATAATTGAATGACTATCCCCGTTCCACACGCCATTTCCTTATTTGATCTGTACAGGTTAGATGATGAATCGTTGAAAACAATTGTTCGCCTCTGAATATGTGTTCTCATGTCAAAATCAAATGTATGTACACTATGACTGGTTGACAGGACTGATATCAGTCCTCCCTCCTGGCTTTAAATTCTGACCAGTGACTTGCGTTAGGTTATGTTTGATCTGATTGGTTGTCCCGGAATAAGTCAGAGTGTTCCAACACTCGAAAGCAGTGATTGTGGCCTATGCGGAGAAGGCTTATTGATGACGCTTATGCTTACGGAAGCATTTTGGATTAGTCTAGACGAAGGCTATTCATCCACAATGGAAGATGCCAACCCCTGACCATTTGAAGGAGCGTTAAAGGATAGGTTTCGGAGNTAGATTTGACTCACATTATAACTTGCTGTCGGTACTAGGATGCCATTCAAGTTGCCGGCATTCTACCAATCAAGTCAAGCATGGCGGTGAGTAAATACAGGGTTGTTCTCTGCAGGTGAATCTTTCGGATTAAACGAGGGCATTGTTTGAGGTCTATTGAACAACGAGTAATGAAGGCTCATCATGTCATTATCGGGAAATTATTGGTCACTTGATAATCATGTTTTTCTCTTGGAGGGGTTTCGACCGGCTCGGACCGTTGTTCAATCATTAATTGATCCGCAAATGAGAATCCGATTCCATTTTACGAGAAGCCTGTAATTTATCTTTAACTTAATGGATCATTCTGTTTCAAGCATGCAAGCGAGGGGCACAACATCAGACAACAATGTTCGCTGTAGCCAAAAGGAATGCATTGAATGCTCACGTGTGATGGAATCAAGACACTAAAATCACAATAGCTCCGATGAAAGAGTCCATACAGAAATCGGCCCGGTTTCAGTGCAAAGGAAACAAGGTAAAAAGTTAAATAAGAGTTAGCAAACGAATAGCCAGATGCTATCTATGCATGATGTCAAATAACATTCGAAGAAGATCGAGAGGGTATGATGTATTAGAAGTGTGCATTTCATGGTATAAACAAGGGGTTACTCATGGTGCATATGATGAGGGACATCAGAAATACACAACACGGGACGAACAAAAATCACAGGTAGCATGAATCGTGATGCTCGAGAAAATTTATCACGATGTGTGATTAAGCATGCGAAAGGTGGTAGAATAAATTTGTTTAACAATCTGAAACCAAATGCGAAGTGTTTGGCATGTTTAAATATTTTCGCATAGAATGAAGTGCCCTTTGCAGGGGATGTAGTGGGTATTAACATGCAGCGGTCCCATACAAGGAGATTACTTGAATCGGGGTTGAAAAAAGTTTCATTGATAGAAAGTAGGAGTTTGTGTCGGTCAGCTAAGGTTGCCATACCTCAAATGATCTTGAATGTTTTCGCGTGTCCTTCAAATGAATTATTTTGATCTATTAATAAAATATTAAGATTTTACTTACCGTACTTAATTTCAATTGGTAAATCGTCTCTTTGAGTGGTTAGAAAAAGAAAATCAGATGACACTTCGTGGTGGTTTTGATGTTATCGTATGGATTAGTTCATTATTTAAGTGAAATATAGCTTCAGTGCCTATGTGTTGTACGTAATACTGGCGAGAAAACCATTCAGTATACGCTGGGCAAACAAAATACAGATGAACTTATTTTGCGAAGAAATTGGGCTAATGTACGAGTGTCACTGTTCATGATACGCCTATGTTACTCACCATCCATAACCATCTATGTGACTGATCTCCAGTTTCTCAACGGGGAAGCTTCACGTGGCTAAAAACCCTAGCCGGCGTTTTCATCATCTCATACTGTCTTATTTCGATCACCCTTGTCCTTCTTCTACCAGGTTTCAGCAAACATTCGAAATCGCGGAAACCTAACGGATGAGACACAACAGATGTCCCAGCGTTTGTGATCTGTGGAGATCAAGTAATTGCGTGATCGCGATTGTCCAAGACTGTTTGCCCTATCTTGACATTGTTTATTCGACTGTTCCACCAAATGACTACAATCACATTCACACAACCATTGGCCGGTCAATGTGGAAGAAACAACCGAACTAGTTGTGTCACACTGAAATTAAAAAGTGTAATGCATCAGTCAATGGTTCACGGGTGTGCATATGTGCGTTAGTCATTATCAATCACAGATGGATTCACTACATTTAACAAGGAAGTAAATTGTTATCAATAACGATAATTTCTGTTGTCTGCGCTAGAAAAAATGAGAATGTGGATTCACATCGAGCAGCAGCTTCATCTTGTTACGTCTGCTTTCATAGTTTGCGCGATTAACTTCGTTGTGTTTGTGAATGCCGATTCGCTACCATCAACGTTTGCTCATTATCCGCACCTGGACCCGGTAACCTCGTAGCAGCACACTGTCCGCGGTCCGAATGATACACTCTGCATCCGCTCGGGATTGAAACAAGATTGACGCGTTACCATTGGGCACTCCGTCACTGGTGTATTCCATTTTTATGGACGAGAGCTTCTGAAAGGATGAAAAATCGCAAAGGCTGCGTTTCGTGTTTCGACCAATATGTGGCAAAACTTTTGTGTTCAAACGACCAGATGAAATAATGCTGCAGTTGCAAAACTCGAACAGCATAATGTTAACTTTAATAATTAAGTGATCAACACATTTATCGTCTGGTTTTGTAGTCTCAAATATAGATTTTATTCCCATCATAAACTCTCAAAATTTTCGATTACAGAACCTTCTTTGAAAATTGAATATCATTGTAATCACACGGAATTAAGTAAGCTATAAAACGAATGAACTACCTATGGTGCACTTTAACGGAACGAAGCTGCTACTGATGATGTACAACACATCTGTAGCAGCAGTAGATCTTTTGCAAGAAAGAAATCGTCTGTGACTTGTGGTATACAATTAGGAAGTTTTGATTCGCATTTTGCAAAGGCTTTCGGTCAGACAATTTTTATATTGAGACATTGTGGTCAACGATAAAACTTACTGAAGAAAGGAATATCTTAAATACATCAACCAACTGGAATCATACAATCCAATTTCGCTAAAATCCAGTGATTTTGTTGGTTGGACGGGCTTACGTTCACCATTCAAGTATGCGTCTATCGTCTACTATTTATCGCAAAAAAAGTTGCGAAGCCAAATGGGCAACGCAGACAATTTTCGGAATTGATCACTTGGCCCACTGAGAGAGATTTAAGGACAGACCGAATGACCGAACGGGCTTTCTCTGGATCATCGAACTTCATCAAAGGAGACTAGTTGTGCTGTACGTGTTGATCTATCTTGTTTATTGAAATGAAATATATCAATCACGAGAAGATCGCTGGTATGGATAAGTTGATCTATTTCTGTGAGTCGAGCGAGTGAGCAGAAGTGAAAAGGTTGAGGCCTCTGATATCTGTTTCATCCATGATTCGGGTTCGAATTCGATTGCGGCTTAAGTTGGATCAAAAGCGTCAGATCACAACATAGCTCTTATTAACTAACTGCCGCGTCCTTTTTAGAGAGAACATGAATTCGCGGGTCAAACCAATTCGCCTCATAGTCTGTGGCTGATGGGAATATCAGTAAGATGTCTGCCAAGAAAGCAACTATTTTATCCGTTGAATGGATCATTCTATTTATCTAATAGGGCCTGAGTATTACCGGCTGTTTTAGTTGATGTACAGTCAATCACAAACTCTTGTTATTTTTGTTCACAGTGCGTACTGAGTTTGAGTCAAGTCACAAGTGCGATTCTTACCAGCTGAGTAGATATTAGCTATCGTGTCAGCTCAAGGGTCATACAACCAACCCCGGAGGCACAGATTTGAGAATGTAGTGTGCAAAACACAAACAATGTTATAGATTCCTCACATGTTGTTGTTACCCTCCCAACCCCTAGGTTTTATCCCCTCATAAAGTGTAACGGCATGACAGTTATTATAAACAATTGTCCACCTGAAACTGTGTTCTATAAACTTATTGAGTCATATTTTCTACGCGTACAAATATAAATATAGGAGTATTTTACTGGTTTTCGAAATTTGAACCAAATTGTACAGCGCAACATGTTAATGGACTTCTCAGTTTGCATTCGAGAAGAAAATGATTTAACTAGGAAAGTTCTTAGAATAAATTTTGGCTCACTTTCACAGAATAACATATGAACAAAGTTTATTTTATGGTTGGCACTTAGTACCTGAACAGTCAAGAGAGAATATACACCGAATTGAAGTTTAAACGATTATTCCCGTAGTGCTTATCTACTGTCGGGTTGTTTGCCCTCAGACTGAAAAATCAAGATAACACCAGGTGACAATGACAGCATAACGCTGTTGCAAACGGCTTTAGTTTTTGTTGAAGTAGAAAGTAAGTAGCAAGAATATACTTAGAATTCGGTTTCAATGCGTTGTTATTTATTCCGAATTTATAACTTTATTTTCCTTTGTGTGGTTGCACTCTCTATAAACACATCAACACAAGCCATTACCAGGTTAAAACTTTTCTCCCCAAATAGACCGGCAATCTCGTGCAGTGTGACATCTTTCGGTAACCCTTTCAGCTGAACCACTGCTTGATCCTGAGGATTCACGACGATTGGACCTTTGTTATCTAACTTCTTCCCATCATCCATGAATTTTCCGTCGAACCCGCTGATCTGGAACTCATCCGTGGACTTCTCCAGTTTGATCTGTGGACTAATTGTCAGTGTTGCGGGTTCCAGATGCGGCGCTTGAATAGACCTGGGGACAACCGAGTTGTTCATATCCCGATATCCGGTGGAAATGCTTGTTACCACGGTTTGTAAGGATGTTCCCGTCGCGATCGCTCCCGGGGCAGTTGGGCTCACATACTGAGGTGGTGGTATTGAGGGTAAGATTCCGTGTAATAACATTGGTGACGGAAGGTCAACCAATGCTGGGAATATTGGGGCACACGGGAGTAGAGCTGAACCATATTGTACCATATTTGCATTTCGGGAATAATATAGGAGAGAAAAGTAAAGCAGGGCGTGAATAACAGTTGGACGATTACAGGATTTTCAAGTATATCAAGTTATACACGATATGTTTCAAAGATTTAGATGCGTGTATTGGCTGGAGAGTAAAGGTTAATTAATGTGAACAGAAAATGGGCGTCACGTGTTGGAAAATCAGAAAAGCGCACTTCAGATAGATCATTCCCGCATAAGATGAGTGATGCGTGCGGGATGACTTGTAAATTCATCTGGAAATTAAACCGTACCTGACCGTATTTCGAGAGGAGCATCACAAGGAAAATTTTTCATTTTTTGCCTATATATATGCAATGTATACTGCGAAAAAATAAAACCCACTATGTGATCGCATGTATGGCTACACTGTCATACAGAAGTTTCTGTCTATCTAATCCGTATTCCTCATCGGTAGGGCGACCCTTAATTGATCTGCCTCGATTTTGACAGCCAGTGGAATGAAGAGCCTCCACGAACAGACATATATTGTCTCCTCAACCTCGCCACAGTTTTTAAGTCCTCGATTTTGACCTCGTCGCCCACCGATTGCAATGGTTCTACCTCGGGTCAGTCCATCTTGAGGTATGCATATTTTCATTTATTCAAGTACACAGTTATTTTCCTATCTTTTCTAACGCAATGTTAGTCATGGTGTAGGCATGAAAATGTATTGAAATTTTGTTCACTGTTGACTGTAGATCTTCATCTATTAGTTATACATTATTCTGTCTTCATTTTTGTCGCCGGACTCATTTTTCTTCTGTTTCTCATCTGACTTGCTCATTGGGGACTTTCACCTGTTCAAACGGTTGCTAATTTAAAAATGTGAATGAATTCCTTGCAGTTTTGTATTTATACTCGTCCAGAATAAGCATTTTTCTTTTTGCGAGCAACTGAGTTACGATATCCTTTCAGATATATACTACCCTGTTCATGCCGCACCTCCACGTCGAGTACTCAGAATAAATTCAAATTTGTGTGCACTTATGATAATATAGTATACCGTAATTGTATCCTTTGCTTCCAATATGCTTTTTAGTCAAAAAGATTTAAGACTTAAATAATGATTTTTCTTGACTTGACAATTAATGTCGCATTTTTTTTACTATCTAAGGTTTTTTATTGCTAAAACCCTCATAGTAACTGGTTCAAAATTTGACTCATTTTGGACAAATAAATTGAATCCCCAATCTGTCTTGATATAACGCAAAGTCGACTTATCTTTTGATACAGCTTACAATTTAGCAAAACAACATTTGTCACCATTTTGTGCCTATTTCACAAGTACTAAAATATCGAGACGCATTAGTTATTTTCCAGTATCCAACTTCTTTTCTGGATATCTCATTAAATTACTCACATCCAGGTTGTAAGTTCGGAGTCAGCACCGGAGCCACGGGCACTGAATTCACGTCCTCTGATCTCGCTATTCCTGCCATTGCCGGTGTGGTCAGTGGTGTTGCAGAGTACTGTGAAAATGTGAGCGGCAAGGAGGCGGTTGTAGCTGTCATAGCGGTTGGTGGTTGAGTTATGGGTGGTGTTGGCGCCATTGATGACGATCTCACTGTCAGCAATCCATGGTGAGTGTTTATACTAATCGGACAAACATCAGGCACGTATCGACCAACGTTTCCCATTCGAGAAGGACGGATCATGGACGGTGGGTTACTTAAAGTTGTCGGGTTCGACAAAGGAATAGTTGGCACAGACAATGGCACCAGGGGATTCAACCCGTTTAACACAGTTGGCGCAGGTCGGATCAAACTGTTATCTGTGGTGGCAACATTTTGAAGCATAGTCAAAATTGTGACCAATAGCTGCTTCAGGTCTTCGCTTGTGCATTGATGCACTTCGACAAAAGCTGTGGAATTCATTGGAGCACCGCGACGTATGAATAGAGTTCCATTTTTTTGTTCCACAACTGACTGTGCCACGTATTCAGAGACAAACTGAATGATTGCTTCT